AACCCAAAGCTAAAGAAACTATGGATTCTATTTCTTTCTCCTATTACAATGTGTAAAAGATCAGAAACAAAATATGCTGTAAATATTTTGGCCCTGAAATATCACGTTATTTTGGCATCGGTATCTTTTTTCCAATTAAAATGGGTGACCAAAGCAAATAAGGAAGCATACAGAAAAATTATTTGTTGCTAAATTAGAAAAACAATAACATAAATATAGCAGCTGATGATACAATGCAAACACCACTATTAGTCTAGAAAAACCCCAACATTTTAAAATTGAGCAAATTCCTGCAAGGTTTTCTTAAAGTATATTTTATACTTAAGTGAATGTAGAAAATTAAATAGGTACTACAAAAAAAGTATTTATTTGAAAAAAGACATTTTGAAAATATTTTGCATTTAGCATTTAAAGTATAAAAGGGAGATCTATCTTGTATTTTGCTATTGAAATAACAAATAAAAAAAAGTATTTGCATTTTGTATTTAAATTCTTTTAAAAAACTATTTTGCACATCTCTGACGGTAACACAAAACAACCAATAACCAATTATCAGCTAAATAATTCCAATTGTAAAACAATTATGAAATGTATGCATTTTTCTATTTTCAGCCGCATGAAATTACATGCCCCCTACTCTCCATTTTTAATATTTTGGAAATATGTTATTAATCTAAAAGAAGCACTCTTTAGATCTAAACTATGTCGTAGTCCCAAAAATCAAGAAAATTATTGGTAGATAAAACTTAATTTATTATAAACAAATTCTTCAAATGCTTCCTGAGTGAAAACAAATTTTGCGTAAAATAGTTACTCATGGAAGCCAATTTTATAGACATTGAGAATAAATGATTGTACAAAACGAATTTAAATACATTTTAAGGTGAATCTTTTAATTTCCATTAGTTTTTAGAAAAATTCCTTTGTTCTGGTAAAACACACATAATAAAAACATATTTTTTGACGAAAAACTCACCGATTACTATTATATATATGAAGTATAGGTGCACCATATTAAGTTATAGATGCATTTTGTTGCACGTCCATTAGTTTAAATGAAATTATGGGTATTTTTGAAATTATTAACAAATGTTTAATCACAAATGGTCAATTAATCATCACAGTAACTTTCCGATGTCCTTGTAAAACCTATCGCGTAACGTTGTCCGTGCTGTCTTATAAACAACTAAAGGATCATCGTGTTCGTAGAGTGTAAAAAGCTGCTGGCGTCACCGATAAACGTTAATACTTCGGAGAATATTTTAATTAACGATTTCCGGAGCTTATGAATTTCAATAATAATAATAATAATAAAATAACGACAAAAATAATAACGGATTATCTATATAAAATACTCATCATGTTATTAATTGATTTGTTATTTGCCGATAGTACATCAGCTAAATTAATAAAGAAATGGCAATTTTAAAAAATGTTTTCACAATAATAAAAAAAATCTGTTAGATATACATTTACAATCTAGAAAATTCGCTTTTTGAATTTTTTACGTAAACTTCGAGAAATCTTGCTCTTTTCATAATTTTAATTTCAATAGATTTATAAGTATTTCACCCATTTTCACCCGGCTTTTGCGCACTCAGCAGAAATATAGGGTGGAGCTTGATTATTGTTGGATTTTTGATATTTATACAGTTATTTACGATTTATGACCTTTTTAATTTAATTTGAAGGACTCATTTGATATCCTTTGTCTTTTTTATTATGTCAATTATTTAATAACAGTATTCAGGGCGACCCAAAGCTCCGGGTTTTTTCATTAAATAGCAACAGTACGACTTGTACGTATATTAGACCAACTTGGAAATCTTCATTAAATTTTTTTTTTGTTTCATTAAGCATTAGTGTGTAGGAGAGGGTAAAGATGAAAGTAGGGTTACAGTTAATATAAACATTGGAGACGAAAAACTAAAAGGATTCTCGGATTTTGGATATCCATGATAACAGGAAGTAAGGGTCTTCTATTAATTTTTGCAATAAACTAAGATGTCCCTTCCCTAAGGACACCGTTAGACTAATTTTTCATTTTGAAATTTTGTACACCCATTGTCAGGGATAAAAAAAAAGCACATAGCTTACCTTTTATCCAGAAAAAATACTGTTCTCGAGGGATAGAAGAAAATTAGTTTTATGTGATCGATTTCACACTTTAACTACTCAATCGATTAACATGAAATTTTGTAGGCACATTGTTAGAGGTACATGAAAAGGCATAGGATACCTTTCATCTAGAAAGTAATTCCGTTTCCATGGGATACAAAAATTAGTTTTATGTGATCGATTTTACGCCTTAATTATTATGATATTTTGTAAGCACATTGTCAAGGATACAGAAAAGGATATAGGGTACCTTTTATCTAGAAAAAATGCTGTTCTCGAGGAATAGATAAATTAGTTTTATGTGGCTTGTGGTCGTCGATGATTTTTGACATTTATTTAACTTCAACGGGAGCGAAGCCGCTGGTAAAATATAGTAAATAGACAAATGAAAGTGTTTCTTTGCACGATTTTATTTTTGACCAATAAAAAGAGCACCAGCTCTGTAACAAAGGTAAACTTAAGCCTATTCAAATGTAAATACGTATATTTACCTCCTATACATATCATGCCTTAATTTATTTATGGTCCGTATATTATTTTTGTAACTTATGCTTACTTCATTAAGTACTCATGATGCTTTTTACAGAAAATTTAATACTTATTGTTATTAATAATAGGTACATATTTACAACAAATAAACATACATATTGCAAGTCGCAATTCTAACATACTGACTAAACTTTTAGTAAAAGATGTGGTATTTATATCGTATATATTTGTAATGATGCAAATTAATTATTATGAATATTATGGTATGTGCTCCAGTTTCGTTATTTATTAAAGGACTCATTAATTAACTAAGAAAATCTTGGTTTAAAAATAATTATTATTAATACTAGGAAGTAAAAAATTTTCATAATTTTGTATAGCCGACTTCTAAAAATGTACTTAAATTTGTACATAATAAATACCCTGTATCTTACCATGGTGCATTTGTTGCATATGAGAGAATTTTAAGATCTGACATAAAAGAATTACTTTCAGATTTTGATAGGTTGTGGAAAAATGAACATTTTATTTTTCTTTATATACAGGGTGTTATCGCCGATAATCACGATAGTAAACTAAACTTATTGACTTTGAAGAACTTAGGTGAAACATTAACTTTTATGCGTTTTTTGTATTAAAACAAAATAATATACTAATTAACGTAGTTGTAATTAATATTCTGATGTAAATATAGCTGCGTAAACACCCTGTATGAAATAGAAAACACCCGTAATAATGAAAACATCAAGATTTTCTTAGTCAGTACTTTTGAAGGAAGAAAATTTGCATTTTTATAATCCCATTAATTTATTTTCATTACACCACCGGTTATTTATTATTTAATTGGTCATTCTTTTACAAATAACAATCTTTACAGTTACAATGTACATGTATTATGACAATATCAACAAAATAGCAGTTACAATTTACAATTTCATCTTTGACGAAGGGCTGTTCAAGGAATTCGTGAAGGATATTTTAAATATAAATAGCTTTTATATGTATCTACTACTTTTCTTCTTAACTATGACTGATATGAAATTTAAGCTCAAAAAGTCGTAAATCCAGGGTTAATCTATTATATTATACATGTTTTAAACAAACTCAGAAATAAATACAAAAGGATACCTAAGCATGATTCCGAGATAAAAGTGAAACTTTTTTAATGGTGATGTATCAAATTGAAATATTTACACGGGTTATACAAAATGAAACGTATCACTGTTCAGAATTTTCCTGCGAATGAACAGAACCTTTTGTAGTTGCAATTTTTTTTAGAGTAAGGAAGAAGATAGCATAAAAAATTAGATGAATAAAGGAAGAAGCGAGGAGGAAAATGAAACAAGAGCGTGCAGTCCAGAAGAAGAAAAGAAAGAATTGAAAAGAAAAAATTTAGAGAAAGTTAATAGTGAAATGGAGTTGTTGGAAGAGATAAAGGAAAACAATTAAGAAAATTGGAAAGAAAATAATGAAACACAAAAAGAAGAGATTTACAAGAAATAAGATGGGAGAATTTGCAATAAAAGTTGGAAGAAGATAAAAGTATAAACGAAAAGTTGAAAGAAATGGAGAAGGAAACCAAGGGAAAATTATAGGAGATGGAAGAAGGATTGGACAAATATAATGAAGAAAGTAGTTTAAAAGAAGAAGTGAAGGAAATGGTACTGAGGAGATAGAGATTGAAAAAGGCGTAGAGAAGCAAGTGAAGGAACAGAAGAAAATAATACGCAGAAAGGAAATGGAAAAGAAAAGAATGGAAGAAAGAAAGCTAAACATGATAATCTTTGGAGTTAAGTTGGAAGAGAACAAAGAAAAGAGGGAATTATAAATAGTGATGAAGGGGAAGATGGGATTGAAGATGGAAGTGAAAGAAGTATGGAAAGTTAAAAGGGAACGGAGGCAGAAATGGAGAAATTTGAAGACAAGACGGTAAAAGGACGAAGGAGACGGAGGTGTATGTAAGAGATGATTTGACGATGGAAGAGAGAATAATACAAAAGATGTTGGAAATAATGGTAAAAGAGGAGAGACAAAAAAATGGGGATAAGCTAGTAAAGGTTGAGTACGAGAAAATAGATAAAACGGGTTTGAGGATGTTATCAGGTTGTGTTTTATGTTATATCTACTTTAGGACATGAACGAGATTTTTGAATGTTGATGTTTTATATTCTGTAGTAAGTAGCCTATATTATTGTAGTTGTGATGTAAGGTTTTTGTATGTATAACTTAAAATTATAATAAAGATTTAAGATCTTTAACCTTTTCTTTTACTTGAAAAAAAAAATTTCACTTTTATAAAAAATAATATCGGTTACAATGAAAATAGCTAATGTTCTTTATATACATTGTACGTTAATTCATTTTGTACGTTGTGTTTACAGATTAAAGTTAAAGCGAGTTTTTCTATTTTTTTTTTTAATAATTTCGAGAAACTAAAGAACAGCCCTTCTACAGCACCTTCAATGGATATGATTAGATTTGAGTTACGAATAAAATTAGTTTTGTAGTCGGAAATTTCGGAACACAGAACAATTTTGTAACATTACCCATCACCTTGCACATTAAAATCTAGTGCACACCAATTTGGAACATTTATAATAATAATAATAATAATACTGTTTAAGTTTAAGTAGGTACCATAAAAGTTAGACCACAAGCAGTCGGAATTATACACAAAGAAGTTGAAGTTGAAGTTGGAAAATCGTAGGAAAAAAGACCGCATGCATCGTTATATGAAGAGACAATAAATAAAAGTTTTGCGTGTTATTGTTTTCTTTTTTTGTTGTTAAGGTATATCAGTTGGTGTTTTATTTTGCTTATGTGATAAATGATTTTTTTTTTGGTTAAGCAAATTGTTAGTGTTGCAGGTATATTTGTTTTATGTAATTATATTAAGTACCTATATGAAATCAATAAAATTATAACAATAACATTTAACAATATAGAAGTGTACAACTGCATCAAGTAAATGAAAGTAATATTTAATTTGGAAAATAAACGTCGATTTTGTGAAAAGTATTTTGGGATATGCTAAAAGATCAATGAGTACATAGGTACTATAAATGCACAGCATGTATCAAAATTACCTCAAACTATTAATTTTCTGAAAACAAATGCTTATATTAATACTGTTTTGTATACGATTAGCTTTTGATCTATCAATCATTACCTATATTATAAGAAAGTAAAGGAGTAAATTTAAACAGGTCCATTTTATGTGAATTTTGATACACTATTGTTGTTTTATAATAGACATAGTAATACTTGCAAGATTACGACAGAGTTTTTGTAAATAAAATACATAGTGAAGGAAACGAAAAATAAACATTTCGTATTGTGTGGTGAATTAAGATTACCATAACTTAATTTTAGAATCAGAATAAAAATTTTGTGTACTTCAAACCAAATCAAGGAATTTCTGTAATGATGTAAAACTATACATACTTAAGAGCAATTAAAGAATAATGTTTGTTTAGTACCCAGATACTGCATAGTCTGGTATTCTATGTTCGTAAAAAAGAGTGCAGGACGACTAGCCGCACGGTACATGCGAATATTTTGTCAATAATATAAAAAAATAGAGGTAAATTCAGATGAATACATAAAAAAAGTCATCGTAGCACTGTTCACATGGACGTTATTGGTATAATCATCGAATGGAATTCGTAGTGAAGCATTAGAAATTATTAAACAAATAAACAGTAACTAAGTATTCAAATCTAAAGAAAACCTTCACCACAAAATATCGAATGTACTGTACTTTTCGTATCGGGAATGAAGCTACACAAACGNCAAGGAAGGATAAACCAAAAAAGGTATTGAAAAGGGTAAGTGGATGACGCCCTAATAAAAATATTATACTAAAACTGACTTTTGAATTATGATTTAGCAAATAAATTCTAAATTTCAAAAAACCCTGTAAATGTAAAAGAAATAAAATGAACATTAAAAAAATTAATGAGATACGAACAACTCTTTGTAAAGACTACTTAAAGATACAGAAATAGATTTATAAAATTGTGCTGAAAATAGTAAACTATAACTTCTATAACTATAATTTTGTTCAATAAATCCACTTTTATTTGTTTAAACATTATATAGGAAAAGAACTGAAACGAAATGTGGTCCTTCCCCTTGCCCATCCTGAAAGATCGTATTAGAACTCCATCATGGATCAAGGACGAACTCAAAGTTGAAAAGCTAAAACAACAAAAAACGTTTCCAATGAGTATACGAACGATTTAATATATACTTATTAATAAGTTGTAGATACCAGAAAATGATTTACCTATTTCTATTTATATATTTGAATACTTTTGTAATAACTTTGTTTCCTTTATTGAAAATACTAAATGCAAATAATGGTTGAATGAATTTGTAAAAATAAAATCCCAGCAGAAATAAATTTACTAGGTATTTTAGTTGATATTACAAATTAAATTGTAATAATTAAGAAACGAAATAATTTTAAAAGAAACATGTCAAA